TATATATATATATATATATATATATCTCAAGAGTTACAAAAGTTCTGAACACTAAATTAAACGGGAAAAACCAAATCATAGCAATTAACTCCTTGACAATTCCTTCACTTCCGTATTCTTGGTCGTGTGCAGATCTTATTGAATTAAATAGACTGACTAGAAGGCCGCTTACTAAATTCAGGTGTCTTCAGACAAACTCGTCTATTAAAATACCATATTTACCCCGAAGAGAAGGAGGGAGGGGACTGATAAACATTGAAAATCTCTGCAGAAACCAAGAAAGAAAAATGAAGCAAAAGTTACTCTCGCGTCAAGATGTATTAATGAAAATGTCTGTACAGGCAGATGATGGTTATACTCCACTAAACGTAATGTATATACTGTATGTAACGTAGTGGGAAAAAGATTATCCGCGCACGTTTTCTTGAGTTCCAGAATCCCTTCCCGTCATTTTAACTATAAATAGTTGAAAGGTGAGTAATAGTTTAACATAAATAAAATAAATAAATTTTAAAAATAAGTTTCAAAAATTATAAGATTAGTAATATTTTAAAAATAGTCATTTTCGTTTCTGAGTTATAAAACACTTATTTGCATCAGTACACAAATTGCATCAGTACACAAATTGCAAGGATGAATTGTCTGCATTTCTACCAAAATAGCAACTCGCCCTTACCTCTACTCTTACCATTACAAGCAAAGGGGAGTTCAACAAAACGTGCATTTACGCCCACAAAGCAAAACCAGGGACCATCTCAGCATTTGCTCAATGGATCAGGGAAACTTAACAAAAACACGATCGAGATGGGGGTCATTGACCCGGAAGATGAAGTACATTATTTGTTACAAACATATAAAGTCTTTTAAAAATAGATAATGCAAATGTAAACTAATTCATCATATATCACTGTTTCGTTAAAATAAACATTTTTCTTTTTTGATAAGTAGTATAGTCTCTAATTGTATAGAAACAGTTATGCAGCAGAAAATATTTTCCTTTTAACTTAAATTTGTGAATCGACATTAATTGTTTAATGTCATCTGGCAGTGCGTTGTAAAGTAACATACATGTATTGTTTGTGGACTTCTGATAG